GGTCCATCCTACGTCTTTGATAGATCTAATTGCTGAACAATTAGACCGCAATCTGCCAAGTGCTGAGATTTTTTCACAGCTTTATAAAAGATTCCAAATTATTCGAAAGAGCATCATTTCCTCTGTTGCATTTGACATGTGGAGAAAGATAAAAAGACAATTCGAAAATCTTCACACTTGTGGGGGTTCGTAAAAGAACGACAAGAAATATCCGTACAAAACCAGCAGGACAGGTGTTAAATGTGAGTTTGATTTCCAAAGTTGTCCATGTTATCGGTCTCTCTAAGAGTGCAATCCTCGCCTGTATTCGTGACATACCAGGTTGATGTTTTCTGGTGTTGTGTATACATGCTGTTTAGACTACATTGATTTGACCAAACATGTCCAGCTTTAATAGTTCAAACTAGATGGTTTTCACAGAATTAGATCTAAATATATTGAGAAACGAGAAATCTTTTAACAAGAAGAAAAATCAAAATAACCTAACACATAAAATACACATAATTCTTAGAAGGAAATTTTTATTAGGACTATATTGAAATCAGGTTTTAGATTACTTTGTCGTTGATTTTAGGCTTTCACTGGGCATCCAATGAATGAAAATTAATTTACAGATGTGAAAATAATGTTTTGTGGTCATCGTTTAGACCTGGCAAACAGGTCCTGCCCCAAACAAACACAGGTCCCTTGTAAAGATCGGTACTTATTGTGGTAATATGATAATGACAAATATTACTGATCTTAGCTGGTAGGTGTTTTAATTGTTGTCCATGGTACAATTACTCTTCAGATCTTGTGCCAGGTTGATATGTCAACATTATTTGTGGATATCTTCTCTTTCTGTCAAAAAAAATTTAATTAAATGTCAGTTTGGAATTGTTTCCTTTGTTAGATTTAAATCTAAAGTTTACTTAAAACCAAATTTAAAACTAATCGAAACATTGAAGTTTATTGATTAAATTGACATTAGCTAAAAAGGGATGACTTATAAAAATTATTCATCATATCCTCATTAATCCTACCAATATTTTCATTATTTAAAAAAAAACTTAAATCCTGTAGTTTTTTTAAAAATTTTAAAATAAATGAAGAATATTGTATTTCAATATAAAACTATTTTTTATGTCTTTGCATAAAACATTATCACAACCACTTTTCATAAGACGTAAACGTACACTTTCATTTGTAACGGTTTACCTGTAGAAGACATTTATTTCATATATATAGTTTATAACACCTGTATGATATGTGCGTTTTGTCAATTGTTACATGTATATATGTCACACCTGTACAAAATACCTGCACAAGACAGCTAATCTGTCTCTTTTATAGATCTATATATAACTTCACTGTGTTTTCTTTTGAAAACTGACAAGCTGTAAACTTCAAAATTAAAAAAAAATTTATATACACCTTACATAAGATAAATTTAAAAAGCTATAATAAATTTAAAAAGCTATAATATTTCAAAAGTATTATCAATAATTTGAGTGAAATCTGTTCTAAGTTCTTTTTTTTTCTATCCTTAATAATATGAAGTACTTAATGCATAATTTCTGTTACAAAATTAAAGCTCCATCTCAAGAAAATTAGTCATAATTGGATTAGTAAATGATTTGATAATCATATTCTTTTTTTAATATCCAACTTAATCTGAAGACTTGTTTCTGACAAAGTACAGTTATACCTGTAAAATGTGCCTTAAGTACTTTGTGTACTTATTACACCTGTATTGTTACACAGGTGTACATCCTGGTCAGTCAGTGGTCAGTCACTGGTCAATCAATGATTATGATCAGCTGTGACATGAACCTGACATGATCTTGTTGACTTTAGCCATGTGTCCTTGGGGATTACTGACCATCAGAGAAGTGACGGTCATTATGACAAGAACATGTTCAGCACAATAGAATCCATTCATCCCTCCAGTTAACTTCTATAACATCTGTAAATAGGTTATTTTTTTGTTTAGATTATCTGTTAAATCTAGAAATTCTTATTTGGCATTTTGGTCTTACAGAATAATGACAGTTGTGGGTATGGATATTGTTTTTTTAACACTGACAATTACCCTGTCGTCTACATCTGATGTCCCATTGGTGGAAAATATTTTATTACAAATTATCATTTAAACTTGGGTCATTTGCTTAGAATCGTTTGAAGCATCTGCCTAATTTCTTACCAGTTAATTCTACAGGTTTGGAATTCTAGACTCATGAATATTGATGAATTAGAAAATTATTGAATTCCCAGTGGTAAGTTATACTCAACAGCTCTAAGGGGGCTTCATTCGTACTGATTTATATATATTACACTGTTTGATAGATTGGATTGTTTTGTTCATGTTTTAAGTATCAGTCTAGGATTTGTTGAATTTGCTGACAGTTATCTAGTTTAATACACCAGCAACTTGATCGTCCCTGATGACTTCAGATACATTAATAACAAAACTAAAGTCATGATTATAATTCATTGAAAATAAGAAATATTTGAAATGAAATCAGAATCATTTGATATTTATCTATTCAAATTGAACTTTAAATCTAAGTATTATTTTGAAAGATACTTTGAAAATGTCATTTTAAATCATCTCTGAACCCTTGATTTTAAAATGCCATCTCTAAAAAGCTCGTAATTTCTTAATTTCCTATAGCAATGTATGACTGAATTGATTTGTATCATAGTAATATGTGTACTGCTTTTGATATCCTGTAGGAAAACTTTTGTGCTTTAGAAAATTGAGTCATCTTAGTTGGTGTCATTATTTATCTTGATTATATTTAAGTCGTAATTTGAAATTGAAATCACTATGAATTTCAGTTTTCATTGGTGAACTCTTTGTGGAGTTTACAATCCCCGAGTTAAAGTTGTCATAAGGTTTTTAAGGACAAATTTTTTTGTGTAAGTTTATTTAAATAACTTCAGTGTCATTCTTGATGTAGTGAATTCATCAACACAATGATTTTTATATTATCAAATTTGAAAAAAAGAGGTCCATAGATATTTCAAGTAAAAATGTATAATTTTGTTTATTTTTCTGAAGAAGATTTGCACATGAATTTGAGAATACATTATTATATGAATAGAGAAAGCTTTTATGGACAAAGTTGATCAAAATCAATGCATCAAGATGTCATTTTACTGAAATTTAATTATTGTAGAATTCTTTATGAATTTCTCCTATTTAAGTATAGAGTTTATATCAAAATGTAAATTAAAATTTTATCATAAAGTAGTTTCTCTTTACGAAAGTCATACTAGGATTTGTTTGGAATGTCATAAATATGGAAATTTCAGATATATTTTTGTATGTATAGCGTCAAGTTAAACAATGATTAGATTTATCAGGGGAAAAGATGCTTAGATACCTATTATGATTTTATATAAAATTATTATCATTTTTATGAAATGTGATTATGTTTGGCATAATATACGGCTGATTAAGGTTTGACAATTTTACCTGTAATGATAGTTATCCTGACAACCATATACCATCACAGACCTACAGGTACTATCTAACTAATTCTCTTTACTCTGATACTATAGGTATATTTACTCAAACTGACACTTATAGAAATTTGTAATTTGACCGGTCAGATCATTGTCCCCCTATCTTAAGTGGTATAAAAGCCAGCCAGGCTACTGAATGGGGAGAGATAGGTGGGTAAGGGGTCTGATGGTGGAGGGAGACATTTCAGTAAAGGTATATTGATAAAGTATGGTTATCTAAAGGTCCTGACAGAAATATCTAAACAAACATCACAATTAGGAACTGCATGGTAATGTAAATTAGAGGGTAACTGTTGGAAGTTTAGATCGGAATAAAAGAGCGATTGATTTTAACCATTTACTGATGAAGACGTGTTTGAACACTGATTGGTTTTTTAACAGTTATTTGTTGGATTGTTTGTGAAGTGTCAATATTTCTGGGTCTGGTCAAGAATGGTCATTTGACACTTTGTGTTTACACTATGGATTGGTCATTGCTGCTGGACGCTCTATTCATATCAACAACAGGTACAAATTGAAAGAAACTGACCAGTCCCATGTGACCGTCACAATAGTTTTAGTGGTACTTGTATAATTGGAGCCTTATGTCAATTAGATGCAGGAAGATAAAAAGAAGGGAGGTAATTACCAAACAATTGGTCAATATTTACCAGGATGCGGTGATGAGTGATGAGGTATACCAGCTGTTTGTTGTCATTGATCTTCCATTATTATCCTGATTGTAAATTCACCTTTTTAAAATATTTTATAGGGCAGGATTTTAAATCAACTCTTTCTGTTTCTCTCAATTCTAAATTTTCCTATAATCCTGACAAAAAGTGTGTCATTTAGGAATGAAGTGTTCTATGAGTTTAAATCGATGCAGAACCTCAAGTTTTTTTCTGTTTTATGATGAGTTGTGGTCATCAAATTGGGATTCATTAAACATTGTAGAAGTTAATTTGATTCAGGATTTATTGGTTTGAGAGCTTGTCCATATAACAGAATTTTGAAAAAATAGTAATGTTTTAGATCAGGAAATATTTTGTGTGGGATATGTGACAGACATTGATAAGGGGAGATGTTTTGAAGGGTGGAGAGCAGTATAATTCTCACTTCATCATTAGCTGTATCTATGACTCTACAATGACTGGAATATATTCTTGATCCTAGGGGCTGTAGTGGATTTTTAATGTAATTGAATTCCCATTTCTATCCCTAATCGTGTCAAAATACCAGTTTCACTGTGCTAATGCCGACACAATTTCATACCACATTTGAGACGTCCGCACAACAGAATAATCGTGCGTGATTGCTGGGTGCCATCGGATAAAAAATCAGCTTTACGTGTGACAAGCTTCTAACTGATCTTGTGTCCTCCCCGTGTGTTACATCTGAAAGAATATCATTAGCGTAGAGAGTTTCACGGCTGGCTGTGATTGGTCAACTGGATGGGGGTATTATTACTCGCCCGTGTACAGGGCTCTTCTATCTGTTTGTCTGTAATCAATATGGGTAAGGTAGATCGGAACAGATTAGTAACTTCAGTTATTCACGGACTGATCAGCAGAGTTAGCGACTGTACAGTGATGTAGCACTGTGATTACCTGTCTTAGATCCTAGGTGTCGAGAGACTTTTAAAACCACAACTCTCGGTTATGGAGTGTTGGAGTTTTGCTAGTTGGATCAAGGTAAAGTGTTTTATCAAATACTTGAGGGATCATGTTTTGTCCTCTCTGATACCATACATCAAGGTATGAGCAGTGTTGTTGTGCCGTTCAACTGTTAATAACTGTATTGATTTATTTCTTTGTATATTACTTTTAAGTTGTTGTATAAATTTGTTGTGATAATTCTGTACAGTTTATATACACATGAATAATTCCAAAAATTTGGATTTTGATATTCAGATTTTTTTAGGGAATAGTTAAATTTATAATTCTTTTTCCAAAATATTGTCAACAATTGTCTGAATTTTTATTTTTTAAACTCTTGAAAAAAATGATTTTAAAGATCAATTGTTAAACTGTACGTATGTATAATGTATATACATGTATGATATAGATTTAGACGTTTGTTAGAGTTCAAGTATTGATAGATTAAAGATGAATTCTTTTGAAGTTTAATTTCAAAATATTTTTAACAATACATTAATCCTTCCACCTTTAAACACTACAAAGGCATTTCAGTGATTTGTAGAAAAGAGCCTTTCCTTTCACTTGTCGGATTAGAATATTCGGTGACTTTTAAAGCATTTTATTTATTGTTTCAATGATTCTGTCGTGTTTTCCGGTCACCTGAATTTGTCCCCAGGGCAATATGTTTGTATTGGTATCTCATTTCACTAAGTCGTTTATCCAAAATAATACACAATGTATTAAAAACACTTCATCGTAAACTGCTTATTTTAACAATGGTGATTTGAATTTCTTGAGAAGAAGTTCAAATACTTACTGAAAGATTTATTAACAATAGATATTATAACTGGACAGGCTGACCAGAAGGTGACCAGTACGTAAGTTTAGGCTTGACCAATGCATTCAGGCTAGATTAATATCTCAAAGCCAGACAAATCATAACTAGTTGGAAGTCTCACAGTGTTGCTGACAAATACCTAAGTGCTGTATTTTCTTCTTTTCCAGAACTTTTCGTCTCCAGTAACTGGATTTTAACTGCTAGCATTTGACAAGTGAACATTGTTGTAGGATATCACTCCTTTTGGGGATGGTTAGATAGGACACGGAAACAACCTAAGCCAAAAATGGCGGAGACTGTTGTAAGAATACTGCTGGTGTTTTTGATGTCAACCCTGTCTGGATGTATTGACTTGTCCTATAAAGTCCAGGAAGAGCAGACGCCACCAGTCGTACTGGGTAATGTGGAAACAGACAGCTCCGTCCTTAGCTTAATTGATACGGTCCAGCAACAGAATCTCGAATATCGAATCCTGAATACAGCTGAAAGCTTTACAACAAATTTTGACCTGGATGTCAGTACAGGTCTTCTAAAACTCGTTAAAAAGTTGGACCGTGAGGCTTTATGTAATTCCGCTGCAACTTGTGTCTTACAACTTAGTATTGCAGTGGCTTCATCCGACAAGTTTATCACTTCCATCAGAGTCAATGTCACAGTATTGGACACCAATGACCACAGTCCGGTATTTTCCCGGAGTTCCATTTCGGTACCTATCTCTGAACGATCATCTGTGAATCTTACTTTCCCCATTATTGGTGCAACAGACTTGGACGCTGTTGGTCTCAACAATTCCAAAATCTTATATGAGATTTTGCCGAACAGTGAGACATTTGGCCTTAAACTGGTCTCAAGTTCGCAGGGTAGTACAGACGTCAACCTCATTCTGAAACAGACTGTTGACCGTGAAAAGCTTGACCATTACAAGATCTATGTGGTAGCAAAGGATATGGGTAATCCTCAGCGGTCTAGTACACTTACAGTTGATGTTTCCATCGAGGACTATAATGACAACAAACCAGTCTTTACGCAGAATCGGTACAACACCACTGTTCGGGAGGATGTTGCCGTAGATACAGTGATACAGACAGTTGTTGCCTCTGATTCAGATGCTGCTGATAATGGAAAGGTCAAATATGAGTTCACATTTCCACAGACATTGTTTAAGTTGGATGAAATATCGGGGGAAATATCAGTGATCCAGCAGTTAACATATTCCCCTGCCCCGTTAGAATTGTCTGTACGGGCATATGACCTCGGAACACCTCAACAAACCAGCCTCACTTTGGTTGATGTACATATTATCGACATTAATAATCATGATCCTGAAATCAACATCCGACTCCTCAGCAACTCCAATTCAGCAACAGTTGAGGAAAACTCTAATACTGGAACTCTTGTGGCTTATGTTTCAGTACAAGACAAAGACAGTTCCAATAACGGAAAGGTGAACTGTTCAATTAAAAGCACAAAGTTTAGCCTGCTCCGTATTTCCAATTCAGAGTATACGGTGGTCACTGCAGAACAGCTTGATCGTGAAAAGAAGATAGAGTATGTAATCACAGTCGCATGTGAGGATAACGGTCAGCCACGCCGAAATCATTCAGCCAGCTTCATTGTGGAGGTTCTAGATAAAAATGATAACATGCCTATATTCATGCAGCGCATTTACTATGGAAATCTAACAGAAAATAATGAGGCAGGAAAAATGGTCACTCGTGTCTCTGCCTCTGACATGGATCAAGGAGTGAATGCCGAAGTCCGATATTTTGTGGAGAGTGATTTTGCTGATATGTTCTATGTGGAGCCAACATCAGGTGTGGTCAAGGCCAATGTTAGGTTTGATCGTGAGCAGGTCAGCGAGGTCAGGTTTAAGGTGCTGGCCATGGATTCAGGGGAGGAAATCCAGTACACATCAAACGCAACTGTGATACTGACTATCATAGATGATAATGATGAATACCCGATGTTTACACAGTCGAAATTCAACTTCTCAATTACTGAGAATCAGAATGCTGACACTTTACTTGGGAATCTGTCGGCCACGGACAAGGACATTGGCATGAATGGACAGGTCATGTACTCTCTACCTTCTCAACACCAAATGACCTTGCCATTTGTTGTTTTTCCTAACGGAACAGTGAAATCAAATCGTCCTCTGAATAGAGAATTAAAAAGTAGCTATGAATTTATCGTCATGGCAACAGACCGTGGTGTTCCAGCTTTGAGTAGTACAGCAAAAGTTTCGGTCCGAGTTTTAGATGAAAATGATAATTATCCTCAAATTATCTACCCTGTCAAAAACAATGGCACAGTCACTGTATCTCATCTCACACCACCTGGAAATGAGGTGACAAAAATAGACGCTTATGACCTTGATGAAGGTCGTAATGGTGCTTTGGTGTTCTCAATGTCACGTGCAAGTGCTAACGAATTATTCTACATTGAGGAGTCTACTGGTAAGATTTATCTTGCAAAAGAAATCCGTAAAGAGGATATAAAAGACTACAACCTCATGATAGAGGTCAGTGATAAGGGCATCGAGCCAAAAAAGAGTGGTGCCGATATCACACTTAGGATTGAGTTCACAGTTACCGAGGAAACATCACAGCCTGGTATCGGTCAAAATGTCCTCATTGCCATAACTATTGCTTGTGTGACTATAGTGCTATCATTAGCTATTCTTGTGACAATCTTTTTAATTCGGAGGGCAGACTCGTCAAAAGGAAGTGGACGAGGAAGTCTCACCGAACAGGAGGAAGTGAAAGTGACAGAGACATTACAAATTCCCCCTAAAAAGCCATGCTTAGCCAGAGAGGGCGCACGATCTCCTCTCCCGGATAATAACAATAGTGTTCATTATGAGGTGAAAAAAGAAGTTAGTTTTTCAATGGACGATCATGATCATAGAGATTCTGGGATATTTATGATCGCCAATGATCACTCAAGTCCAGTCCCCATGACCAAGCTGAGTAAAACTAGACAGCTACAGGTGAGTGTTGTGATCACTACAAATGCTTCTATTTAAGGATGTATGTGTGTTTTCACTTCTTCATCCTCTGCTATAGCTTGAAGAGATTCACTTTTCAAACTTGTTTTAAGAAACTTAGAAACTTTAATAAATCAGTTGTGAATTTTTTGTTACACCATTGATAAAATAGTGATATTTTATAGCAAACAGCCAAATGATTTTATTAGTGATTCATGTGTAAAAAAATATAAGGGAGATAATTCTAAAATGTGTAATATTTCACGTTAAATTTAAAGATTGATTTAAGAAATATGAATTGAAGGAGTCATTACGAAATTTGTGATACAAACTTTTCAGTGTTTTGTCCAAATCCAACAATATTTAATTTGTAGTCCATGAATTTAAAGATTGATTTAAGAAATATGAATTGAAGGAGTCATTACGAAATTTGTGATACAAACTTTTCAGTGTTTTGTCCAAATCCAACAATATTTAATTTGTATTCCATGAATTTATAGATTGATTTAAGAAATATGAATTGAAGGAGTCATTACAAAATTTGTGATACAAACTTTTCAGTGTTTTGTCCAAATCCAACAATATTTAATGTGTAGTCCATGAACAGGTTTTGATTTAATTATAGAATTTTATTTAAAGATACTACTGCTATACCTGTAACTTCAGTGCTTCCTTGTTACTGATAAATCATCATCAATTTTCTGAGTATGTTGAATGACCCAAATATTCCCAAAGAGAATGGAAAGGAAATTACTCCAAAATTGTCATATAAAATATGAATAAGACAATGAATGGTCGGCAGAAGACATTTATAATACATAGCTTAACTCAGATAGTCACACTCTGAAAGATCCTGTCCATTAGAACATATAACAAGGACAGCTGTTTACTTGTACATGTGGTGTATGTATATATGTATCAATCTATCTATGTTACAAAAGATAAGAAATATTTCCATCTCGTAACAACTTAACTGTTGTTAGCCCTTTCCTACAATTTTTATCTTGGTGAATTGGTACTTGGTACAAACACACCTCTGAGGAAAATTTTTAGCCCTCGAGTATTGATAGGTGAAAGTATTTAGTCTGATAACCATCGCCCATCAACACCTGGACAGGTGTGAAATATAGGAATCTGGTTAGTACCAGGGCAAGGGTCATTACAAGATGTTGATTACAGATGAAGTATCAGTTTAAACCAGGCTCCATAAACATGAGTATTCCTCGATCCCTTTGTACCTTTGTACTCTGGGTAAAGTCACACGAATCCTGAAGATTGAAACATGATTTAATTTGGACAGTGACAAATGTTATGTAAACTCGGGATTGATTTGTGGAATTACGGAACATTTCTGAGAATATCTGAGATCTAGATTGTCATTACCATTTGATTTTAAGCTATTAAATATCGTGATTGTATCGAAAACCAAAGAGACACTGTCACAGATTTGGTAATTACAGTTAAGTGTTTGGTCGTTAGGGTGTTATATTGCTAGTAATCAGGTGTATTGTGTTCATTACGATTACGTAACATCACCATCAGTCCAACCTTTATCGCTGAAGTTAATGTAACTCAAGGTATTCATAATATAAAGATTGACCCAGGGGAGATCGGTAGCACTTTATAAGTGAATTGAATGTGTTGTATATTTCACTTCCTGTCGGTGATAGATTTCATCAGTAATGGATGTCAGAGATTTGGGGTTCAGATGGGTTGAATATAGAATTATTTTATTGTCCTCCTTGATTCTAATTATCAAATGGTACTTTTTTTACATCAGATTTATTCAATTCCCTTTTGATTGGAAATGGATCTGCAATTAATTCATTAATGTATACTCTAAGTATACATATAAGTACAGATGTTTATCTATAACTTTGCAATATTGGAATTCCAAAAAGGATTGTTATGATAATCACTTAAAAAAATGAAAATTTAATCTTAATTCATTTTAAAGTTAGAGGTTTAAAGCGTCACCCTCGACTGTATTAATTTTGTATGGTATGACTTTTGTATGTTAGATATACAGTCTCATGTTTTATAAATCACAAATATACCAAACAAATTCCTGTTTATAGCGGTCACCTGTTATAACAAATATCAGTCTATAAAAAGCACCTGTTTCATATACATATATATATATATATATATATATATATATAAGTAAAAGACACTATATATATATATATATATACAAAATACTTGTCATAAAAAGGCTATCTGTATATAACAAACACCTGTCTATGAAGGTCACCTGTATAAAAAAATCAACTGTCTATAAAGGGCACCTGTATATATTAAATACCTGTCTATAAAGGTCACCTGTATACATGTCTGTCCTGTGATCTGTAAGACCTTTGCACTATATAACTTTCGATTTCCCATGTAATAATATTCATTAGTATAAAGACCACTTTTCTGTGCTCCCTGGAATGGCTTTTACTAGAGACATGTTTGAGTGTACTGATTCATTTCTCCAGTTCAAATTAAAAAGGAAACAAAATTCAGCATCAAAGTATAATATCAGAAATCACAGTATGTTTTATTCACCCATGTCTTGAAAAATATCTTATGATGTAAATGATTTCAGAAGGCAGTTTTCATATTGTGCCTGGTCAGCTAGTTATGTGTATAACCATTTACAAATGTAAACAGGACGATATTTGGACGTTTGAGTGTAAAAGTGGATTGTAGATTAAAAAGTTTGTATAAATTTACTGTGAAGAATGATTCTTATGTTTATGTATCACACCCTTAATCCAAGTCTCTATGAATAAATTAAAAGTATATTTATCAGCAGTGTCACTAGATTCTCCTGTCAACAAACTCAACACTCTTGATTGTCCAAACTGACACTCACAACAGACCTGTGAACAAACTTCACAATAATTTTATCATTTAGACACATCTAGAGGGCCAGGACATCGGATGGGCAGGGAGTATTAGATCGGTGGAGAGACAAGGATAGCCCTCTCCAATAGCTCTTTCATTGGACATGGACAAACAAACTAAATAGTAAATGATTTGGACAAACTTCCACTCCATTGTAGCTGGACATGTTTGAAGTTAATATTATCATGTTGTAGGAGACATCAAACTTTGACTTTAATCCCTGATCAATGTTAAACATTTGGGTGACATCTCGAAATCTGAATAGCGAAGTGGGATAGAATAAATAACTCTGTCGTAACAATTATCTCATCAACGGAAAGTCCTAACCTTGGTTAAACACACCAGGATAGGACCAACGTTGCAGGATACAAATAATTCAAATTCTGAAGTTCTGTAAGGTAGAGCAGAATAACAGATAGGTGATTTAGTTGATGGTATCTCACACCAACGATTGTCTGTACACCAGTAAACAATGACTGCCACCAGCTCTCTCTATCCACTGTGTGATATCCTAAATAGTTTAGAAACCACCACAAGCAAAATCTTTTGTCTAGAATAATAGAAAATAGATAATGGAAGTGATTTGGAAAGCCCAAATCCTTTGTTGTTTTTTCTGTTAAATGATATTTCGTTAAGTGACACTGGTAAAAATGATATTATGTCAGACGCAGTGTGTTTAAACAGGAAGTTCGTGTATACACAGGTTAAAATTTCAGGTGTGATTGTGTCAGCGATAGGTAAAAAGAGGTACAGCAGTCAAAATAACAACTCTATGATTGTCATTTTAACTTTCAATAAAAGAAAACATTTCCCTTGACAAAAGTACATCTTACAGCGTGTCCCTCACCCTATAACCTAGTTTGACAATAGAGAGTAGACTTTTGTTAATGTTATGATGAAATGTTTTAACAGTGTTCCAAGATCTAAGTAGTTATATTACAGTTTACAGAACCTATAGAAAGAATATTCACTTACACAGAAGTTTATCTAAAAAAAAGTGATAAAGAATATTTTTTTGTGAACAAACAAGTTTTACCAGTTAAATTACTCAACGGTTCATTCCTATGATTCATATGCTTAGCGTGTTGTTTAAACCTTTATTTTAAAATTTGAACGAAAAGTCGTTTATCTACATGACATGTAATAAAGCAACAAAATATTTCTATGAAAAAATTTGTTAAACTAGAAATATCATACTTGAAGACATTTTAGCTCAAAGGCTGAAATTATTAAAGTAGTAATATGAAACATCAAATAATTGATTTAGCAAAAGACACTTACTCTTCTAGAACATTTGGTCTTAACCCCCTCATACTTTTCCAGGAGTCTCCTTTTAAATATTTCTCTTGTCCATGTGTTGAATTTGAGTTTGGATTATGACTATGTTGACATGTTGGTATTTTAAAAATTTTGTAATAAATGAAGTTAGATTGCAGATTATTAACCTTTATATATGTTCTATCAAATTTAAAAGAAAATTTAGACTGTCAAGTGGTTTAATTCATTAGATAATGAAATCAAGATATTTTAGTGTTTTCCTTCTGGTTTCAGACTTTTATATCGCAGCAGTCGCCAAATCGTACTACTTTGGCAAGGCGGGGGGACGATCCAGCACAAGACGAGCTTCATCGTATGGCATCCATACGACTTCATGAAAAACTGATGCATTCACATAACAAACCACTGATCTACCATCCAGACGAGGTAAAAGATAACACATTTACAATAGCTTTACAATTATTTTCAGGAAAAAAGATTTATTTTATAAAATGCAAAATATAGTTCTAATTTCAATATTTCTGAAGAGTTGCATAATTGATGCTTACAGCTTACAAGATTCAAAATTTACAAAATTACAAGGTCAAAATTGTCAGATTTAAATTATAAAATAAAAAGAATTTTGAAAATTATTTTTCGTTATTTCAAAGCAATGAATATTTCAAAAAATTCTGTATATTTTTTTATGAAGTTAATACTTTAATTTAAATCCTAATAAATTAGATTTATCAATACATTTATGCTCTATAAGGGTTCTTCAAGTTAAAACTTCTAATATTTAGAACCTGTGGGAAAAATATGAAGGATACAGGACTTTTGTTGGTCATGAAATTATTTACAATTTGAATTGTCAATAGATATTTTATATCGGGCCAATTTTTTTTGCAATGTAAACAATTAGTTGTGATCCTGGTATCGGGTGGTGCTGGGACTGAGAGGCTAAGCTTGTTAATTATGTGTAGCTGACATTATGAGTCAGCCGTCCTGTAAGGTCAGTGGTAGACACAGTCTACAAGTGGATAAGTCTAGATTTATATATTTAAACTTTTGTGGTGAAAATGACACATGTTGTTGTAATTAATGCCAAATTCCTTTCCATACTTTTCATTGTGATTTCCAAGTTTGGGAAGAATGGCAGGATTAAATTGGGATTACTTTTACGTAAGGATAGGCCTGTAGAGTAGTCATCGCAGGTCTCTGTGTCAAAACTACAGCCTTTCTCTCCAAATGTCACACAATCTCATTCTTTGTGACAAATCCACAGCTTTGCTCTGTGTGAATTTTATACAAAGCAGGGAGAGTGTGAATACTACCGAATACCACCACCTATAATTCCTTTGTTGTCAACATTACCAAACACAATTCAATTAATGTCATTTAATTAAGGGGGAAAATTGAACATGAAAAATTGTATCTGGTAGGGAAATCAAAGTGTTGCCTACCTAGGAGATCATCTTGATAATTTTCTTCTTTTTTTTTTTTAAATTTCAATTTACGTCTCTTTATTGTTTTGATATTTAAACATTATGTTTATTACCTATTCAGAGTAACACATGTATTTTACAACTTCTCCTACAATTGATGGTAATTGTAATCTTGATTTCTTATAAAACTGTGAAATAATTTTTTGAAAATCGTATTTAAGTTAAAAACATTCATTAAAACTAAAGAGAATATTTATTAATATTTATAGTTTATTGGTTATTCAAGTCTGGAAATATTTAGATGGAGGTTATTACTATAGTCTTAATAGTATGATCAGTTATATGAATATATTATTTACAAGTGTACTACATAGGCTGGTGAACCAAAATTGGAGTATGTTGATGGGTTGACTAAGTTTGATAAAATATGTAAGATTACCTGATAAAATCTAGGTTCAGTGCAAACATTTAGGTGATCAGGATCATGATATCCAGTTTTTCACGCACAATTTCGTCTACATATCTTTCAATCTATCAGTCATTCAGAAAAAGTGAAGGGTTGAGTTTTTGTTATGTATTTTATGAAACTGTGAACAGAAAAAAATCTGGCCTGCCATGATAATGAACAAAAATTATTGATAATCGTCTGGAAATAAAATAATGACAATAAAAAGTGAATAAAGTTGTGGATGATTCATATGCAGATTGAAGAATTAAATGTAAATCATATTATTGTGATATGATTTTGTCTGAGAGTGACATTTTGTTAATAATAGACCAGATTGTAAGAATATGCATGGTTGGATCTGATGAAGAAAAGAACAGACAAAACAGATGAGACAACAATGGTAGAAAGTGAGGAGAATGCGATATGTCAGGGAATATTTCTATAGATATTGGACATGGCTTTAGATTACTGCTTTGTAATGTCTGATAATTCTATCCAGGTTTTCCCTCCCTCGGAGGTAATGTTCAGGAAATAATTCTAGCTTTCTGTCTTCTTTAACAGAAGGCGGACTTTAGTTTTAGAAGGTACAATTTCTAACTGTGTGTGTACCAAACTGGTCATTGTGACTATAGACACGTCAAATGTGGTTTCTTTGTGGGGCAGTCCTAATCAGAAACGATCACTGCTGGGGTGTCCAGTGTCCACTCAACACCTCTGACCAGGGTTCTGACACCAATGACTGCTGGACATGACAGCTCTATTGGGGAAAATGTTACACTGGACATAATCAGAGGTCTCCTTCGAACTCTCTCCATGTTTTTGTCCACTTCCCACCAGTCGCAATCTGTTGCTTTTTTGTACATGTTTGACATTGTCCTTTCATCCTATTCATCACCAATTAGGTCTCTCTGAACATGGTACCTCAGCCTGCCAAAACAGCCACTTAACTTATAAAAAAAGTCAAGTTCAGGTATTTTTAAAGAGGTAATAGTAACTGTGATTATAAGGTCACATAGTCACTTCCTGATAAAGGTTAAATTCACACGTTTATCAGGAACATATTTTTACCGGACACAACTTGATCACATGTTTGTGAAATTTGGGTGATTCAGATGAAAATGGTCACAATAATATGTAATAAAGGAAATGTGATGACTTGATTTTGAAGGCTTTAAAATATTGATTATGCCTGTGTTTTTCCTGAAGTTCTCCTGAAATTTTAACTTTCTGTTGATAAGTGATATACTTTTTGTTTCATAAAATGAACTACTGTGATAAGTTCAAAGATAAGTCATCAATTTAGAAAAAGAGGGAATAGAATTTTTTTTAACGAGGTATTTTTTAATACTTGCAATTGTTGAATGGAACTGAATTCTTAGCTTAAATTGTTTGAATAAATAACAGTTGACTAAACAGGAAAAATCAATAAACCATCAGTCAGTTTAAACATTTACATCCTCTTTCAATTTTTTGTTTTTCAAAATATAGAACTCTCCACTCCTAATACTGAATATGATCAATGAATGTCGCCTGGAGGTATTCAACCACTTGATTTACTATTTTTTCCTCTAGAAGTGTTTCCCTGGGACTCTTGACCAGATGTTGCCCCTAAGAAGAGACATTCATCTTACTTTAGTGTATTATATATATATTTTTTTATTTTTTTTTTTTTTTTGTTTTGTTCAAATTGTTGATAAATTTTCTTTGTGAGTATTCACTCAATATTGAAAATATGACCCATACTATGTAGGCAGAAGTTTCTCTCCTTGATAATGTCAAGATTTTTACTAAACAAAAGAATTACAGTATATTATTTACAACAGCAATGTTTGTCAGATTTAGGTCATGTCTTTAAATGGTTAAGAGTAAGAGATAAATCTATGTCATTAAAAATCTGTCGGTTTATTGAGTCAGTATCTACACAACAACCAATAAGCTCCTAGATAGACCTGCACCGTCTTGATGAAATTACTGAAATCACTTAAAGTACTTACAAAACTTTCCTATCTATGAAATATATCTTTAAAATTAATTAGAACTAGAATCACATTTAATGGCTTTTTTTTTTTTATCTATTTAATTAGATTTGTTTTTGAATTATGTTGATTCCCCTGGTATCTGGAATTGGTATCAATAGTTGAGGGTGTTTAAATTGTTGTGTAAATATCTGGAATATTTCTGTAGATTTACAGGTGTGGTGTTTAGAATGAGTATGTAAATTTCCAGTAGTTAACAAAATTATTTTATTTCGGGACATTTTTGTCAGGTTCGTAATGTCAATAAAATGAAAGTTCTTATAGCACAGCCACAAAAGTTGATTGATTCCTTACCATCTTGCACACTATATATGTCAGTGCATCAAAACGGCCACATGTTAAAAGAGCTTTAATTCAATTCTAAAATAATCTTTAGTGTTATAGGCGTCTTAATGATTTCATTGAGTAATATTCTAATTAGTATGACATGAAACTGGGCATGTTTGATGCTCATTGGTTTGCCTGTTGGTTCTGTTGTTGTAAACCTTGTTCTCATTTGAGAAACCTGACATTGCTTACTTGGATTGACCAGGGTTTACATGGCAGGTTTCATCAGTGAAGCACAAGGTGCTTGTTCTTCATCCTCATACCTTTTTTTTAATCTCTGTGAAAAATGTTTCTGTTATTTATATTTTGCCTACCTTTCATGAATTTTAGTTCAGAATATAATGAGTTATTATTATTTTCATTTTTTAATTAACAGAATCTAATTTTGAAAGAAACTTTAGTACCAGTTATTTAATCTAATTTACAATTTCCTTTATGAAAACTTTTAAAATCATTAAACAGGGTATAAGTTACGAGTAATTTGCAAATTAATCAATCATTAACTAGGGAGAACAGAACTATTGGTGTTGAATTTTGATTCCAGTTACAAGTTTCAGATATTTGCAACTTAAACCAGTTAAACTTAAACAGTTTATCCTTTTTTGTCATTTCAGAATCGACAGTTATTACTGCTGAAAAAAGGGTTAGAGGACTCTCGCAGCGACAACTCAGGGGAGGTAACCACTGACAGTGGTCGAGGCGGCAGTGAAGAAGATATGCATCATGCCAGTATCATGATATAGAAAGAAAAGGAATTGGTTCACGTCGAAAAAGGTAAATCAATAAATTTGGTATATTAAAATACACTATTATCATCCTCCTTGTCAGTAATTTTTAATCTATCTTTTTTTAATTCATTTTTTATGTATGTGTGTATATTTTAATTTGTATTTACCTTCAATCATCAGATCATGAAATAAAAAAATGAAATTAAATAACATAAGAGTTATCTGATTGTTCGAGTTCTTTCTCCCAGTTGATCAAATGAGTTGACAGAATGGACATTGTTTAATGTCAATTTAATGTGCCAAGTGGCTAAGCCTGTGCATTCTTTGTCATATTGACTTTTAAAAATACTGAAAATCTACAGTCACAGGCAAAATGATTTCAATTTATGTTCTAGATGATTGATTTTTTTTTTCAGACAGTTTTACATGACATGGCAGTTAAAGAAAAATGATATTGAACTATAAATAGACCAAGTATTGGTGATATTAAAGCTGGTTTCAACTATGGGCTGAAGTCAGATGAGGTCAACCCAAGACTGATCGTAAGGAATACAGCCAAATATATTGCTGACCCATTCTTAAGCTGAGCACAACAAGTCATTGCCAGGTGGAAATCTGTTTATCCAGGTAAATATTGTACTTAATATATTTATGGTTATAAACTCTCCCCATCCCCATATCTTCTGCTGTTTAGTAGAATTATTACTGTATTTATCAAGTAATAAGTCCATGTCTGGTAATAAGCCCACCCACATTTACTGCTGTTTAGTAGAATTATTGCTGTGTTTAACCAGTAATAGTTCATGCCTAGTATTGAGCCTACCCATATTTACTCCAATGGGTAATGTTGTTTCATTGTTCTGTAGAAATCTCACCCCGACTTTTTAGTTTTTAGTTTAGAGTTGTATGTTAGCCCCTATTTCATTGTAGGATAAATATGTAATGTCTCAACAGTTTTGGGAGTTAAAAGTGGTTAATACCTCCTTAAAAGTTTTATAAGTAAAGTAGGAAACTAATATTTATCTAGACTTTTGTTTGAAATTCTGAGAAAGATGGTCGAGTACCTGTAATTACAAAATTAAAGGACCACCAGGTAGATGATATAGAAATTCTGAGAAAGATGATCAAGTACCTGTAATTACAAAATTAAAGGACCGCCAGGTAGATGATACAGAAATTCTGAGAAAGATGATCGAGTACCTGTAATTACAAAATTAAAGGACCACCAGGTAGATGATATAGAAATTCTGAGAAAGATGATCGAGTATCTGTAATTACAAAATTAAAGGACCGCCAGGTAGATGATACAGAAATTCTGAGAAAGATGATCGAGTACCTGTAATTACAAAATTAAAGGACCACCAGGTAGATGATATAGAAATTCTGAGAAAGATGATCGAGTACCTGTAATTACAAAATTAAAGGACCACCAGGTAGATGATATAGAAATTCTGAGAAAGATGATCGAGTACCTGTAATTACAAAATTAAAGGACCGCCAGGTAGATGATATAACGATTTGATATATAGAAACAAGTTAGAAAAGTAGCGTTATACACAGTGTTTTTTTTATCTAGAGGTGGTCTGTAATGACAGAGTTCTGTGTTTCTACAATAATGAAGTTGTAATTGGTCTTCTGAGTCTCTCCCTGCTCAGTTACTGTATACTTCCAGATGAAGGGTTAAGGACCCTTAGTTCTGCCCAATTTCCTTTCACCTCTCTTTAAACGGATTCATTCTCTTTTACTCCTGTTTATAATTTTTTTTCTTTTTTATGTCTTTCCAGATTGATTCAGCCTTGCCATGGAATGAAACTTCTCAGGAAAATTGATTTTTTATTGTGCTTAAAGCAACAAGACTTTGAAAGTTAATTGTTGTAATTGTTCCGATATGCCTTCCAAAGGAGACATTTATTTTTTTCATGAGATTCACAATGTTTACTTTCACTGATGCTGCTGGTGAAAATATATTTTCATATCTCTACAAAATGTTGTAACCACTCACAAAATTGGCTGATTATATGATAATTAAATGATAACATGACACAATGTAAATTATGATCTCAAGCCTGAAAAAAAGTTATCTTTGACAGCCAATCATGAACCATTTCTCATCAAGCAATCATAAGCCATCTCTCATCAACCAATCAGAATTATCTGCTCATAAATGTAGACAAATTACCTTTTGTCATATTGTTATTGCTATGAAATGTTATTTATTTTCTAGTCCAGTAATAATTTCAATTTGTAAACATTTATTACCGTGACTGAAACTGTTTTGTACTGATATTTATTTTGTTATTGTTTTATATACAACAGTAATAAACAAACTAAAAACCATTCTGTCTTTTTATATTATTTGTCTTTTTTTTTCATTCATGGAACTTCTTAGTCAAGCACAGCACACTAGTCAGACTATTTTCTAAAAAAAAAGTCCACATTTGGTAATAGGCCCACCCACATCTACTTTAATTTTAGTAGAAATGTAATGCAAACTAAAGCTATCACATTGTCCTGTAATAAGCCAACCTCGTCACCATAAGCTCACCTTGTTCCAAGGAGCCCACTTTATTACAACCAACCCACCTATTTACAATACACAAGCCCCCCTCATCACAATAAGTCTTCCTCACAATAGTATGCATACCTCACCACAATAAGTATACCTCACCACAATGAGTCCACATTATCACAATAAGTATACCTCACCACAATGGACCACTTTATCACAATGGACCACATTATCACAATGAGTATACCTCACCACAATGGACCACATCATCACAATGAGTCCACATTATCACAGTAAGTATACCTCACCACAATGGACCACATTATCACAATAAGTATACCTCACCACAATGGACCACTTTATCACAATAAGTATACCTCACCACAATGGACCACATTATCACAATGAGTATACCTCAACACAATAGACCACATCACCACAATGGACCACATTATCACAATGAGTATACCTCAACACAATAGACCACATCACCACAATGGACCACATTATCACAATAAGTATACCTCACCACAATGGACCACATCATCACAATGGACCACATTATCACAATGGACCACATTATCACAATGAGTATACCTCACCACAATGGACCACATCATCACAATGAGTCCACATTATCACAATAAGTATACCTCACCACAATGGACCACATTATCACAATAAGTATACCTCACCACAATGGACCACTTTATCACAATGGACCACATTATCACAATAAGTATACCTCACCACAATGGACCACTTTATCACAATGGACCACATTATCACAATGAGTATACCTCACCACAATGGACCACATTATCACAATGAGTATACCTCACCACAATGGACCAGATTATCACAATGAGTCCACATTATCACAATAAGTATACCTCACCACAATGGACCACATTATCACAATAAGTATACCTCACCACAATGGACCACTTTATCACAATGAGTCCACATTATCACAATAAGTATACCTCACCACAATGGACCACATTATCACAATAAGTATACCTCACCACAATGGACCACTTTATCACAATGAGTCCACATTATCACAATAAGTATACCTCACCACAATGGACCACATTATCACAATAAGTATACCTCACCACAATGGACCACTTTATCACAATGGACCACATTATCACAATGAGTATACCTCACCACAATGGACCACATCATCACAATGAGTCCACATTATCACAGTAAGTATACCTCACCACAATGGACCACATTATCACAATAAGTATACCTCACCACAATGGACCACTTTATCACAATGGACCACATTATCACAATAAGTATACCTCACCACAATGGACCACATTATCACAATAAGTATACCTCACCACAATGGACCACATTATCACAATGAGTATACCTCAACACAATAGACCACATCACCACAATGGACCACATTATCACAATGAGTATACCTCAACACAATAGACCACATCACCACAATGGACCACATTATCACAATAAGTATACCTCACCACAATGGACCACATCATCACAATGGACCACATTATCACAATGGACCACATTATCACAATGAGTATACCTCACCACAATGGACCACATCATCACAATGAGTCCACATTATCACAATAAGTATACCTCACCACAATGGACCACATTATCACAATAAGTATACCTCACCACAATGGACCACTTTATCACAATGGACCACATTATCACAATAAGTATACCTCACCACAATGGACCACTTTATCACAATGGACCACATTATCACAATGAGTATACCTCACCACAATGGACCACATTATCACAATGAGTATACCTCACCACAATGGACCAGATTATCACAATGAGTCCACATTATCACAATAAGTATACCTCACCACAATGGACCACATTATCACAATAAGTATACCTCACCACAATGGACCACTTTATCACAATGAGTCCACATTATCACAATAAGTATACCTCACCACAATGGACCACATTATCACAATAAGTATACCTCACCACAATGGACCACTTTATCACAATGAGTCCACATTATCACAATAAGTATACCTCACCACAATGGACCACATTATCACAATAAGTATACCTCACCACAATGGACCACATTATCACAATGAGTATACCTCAACACAATAGACCACATCACCACAATGGACCACATTATCACAATAGGCACACCTCACCACAATGGACCACATTATCACAATGGACCACATCATCACAATGGACCACATTATCACAATAAGTATACCTCACCACAATGGACCACATTATCACAATAAGCATACCTCACCACAATGGACCACATTATCACAATGAGTCCACATTATCACAATAAGTATACCTCACCACAATGGACCACATCACCACAATGGACCACAGTATCACAATAAGTATACCTCACCACAATGGACCACATTATCACAATGGACCACAATATCACAATGAGTATACCTCACCACAATGGACCACATCACTACAATGGACCACAGTATCA